TTCCCTACTTTTCCAATCCATCTATCCGCACTCCCTTCTCTGCTGAGTACACAGGTAGTTGTAAGAAGACAGGTGACGCCCAACAGACAGGGAAGGAAGAGTTGAATGAACACATAAATGAGCCATTCATACAGCATTTAGGAAGTCAAACTTCCATCTCCGATAAACCAACTGCAGAAAAGAAGTTTTCAGAGGAGGGTGTTTGGGATCAGCTGCCAAACAAACATGTTCGCAGTTTGCCTCGAATGTCTTCCTCAGCTTCTGCTCTTCCTCCTGGAGTCTTCATGATGATAGCAGGCATATATCTGGGATAGGTTCTAACCCTCCGCTCCTCCCCCACTACCATACATGCTCCCCTTCCTTGCCCCGTCTGTACGTAATAATGCTAGACTTCAATCTGAACTATCACCTGATTCATCACGCTTCTACAATCTCAACAGCTTGAGACCTGATCTCAGTTCAGCACCAAGAACAGCAGACTGCTACTCGACTATTGTTGGTAATAACATGTTCTCACTGAGTAATATAACTTATGGAATGATAAGGACACAGGCTGACAGGTCATCTGACATGTTAAAAAACATCTATGGGGAGTCTAAACCTGTTCACACCTCTGCAGCAGATGCTACGCTGGGAGTCAATCAAGATATTACCAGGGAATTGATACAAGCATATGGAAAAGCTCATTTTCTTTCAGCTCCATCACCAGTACCAGACCAGATATTGCAGCTTCCAAACAATAAAGACACAGAAGATGGTGGCCCCAGATTTAGTAACTCTAGTTTTACTGTAAGTCCACAAAACAGGCCTGCAGTCCTCCAGGAAGACGAGTTGGGAGATGACAGTGATGTCCTGGTGGAAACAGCTGTTCCAGCTGTGAACTGCTCAGTCAAAACACCCAGCCGACTCATCCTCCCCTCCAAACCTCCTCCAGCTGTTTGCGTCGTTCTCACAGCGTTCCCTCACTGAGTCTAACAACCTCTGCAAAGAACAAGACCTTCACCCGATCAAAGAGCTTACCTGACCTGCTGTTCAAACCCAGCTGTGAGGAGTTCACCCCTGATATCACTGTTGATGAAAACGATGAAACCTACAGGTTCCAGTGCTCCTGCCCAGGCCTGTACCAGTGCAGTGTGACAGGCCTGCTGTTCCACATGGAGGGAGAAGGGGACGTGGTTTACAGGATCGTCCCCTGGAACAGGAGGCTACTGGCCCGACACCACAAGCAGCCTGCAGGACCCCTGTTTGACATCAAATGTCTGCAGCAGTCTGTGTGTCGCTTCATCTCCCACACTGTGAGATCCGCTCCACAGGTGGAGGTGAGTTCTTGTCAGTCGCTCATGTGAACGCGAGGGCATCGAGTTTATCGGCCCTCAGAAGATCACAGAAACTCACGTTGTTATAAACATCACAGGGTTTTCTGGTTTCGGTAATGTCAAGGATGAAGACTCGCCGGCTGACCCGGTCCGAGCGCTGGTTCTGCTGTTCTACAGGCCCCCGGCTGATCCCGACGCTGAATCCCTCCTCAACGTGTTGCTGCTACCGAGGAACGTGGTGCTCCGGGATGTGCTGCGCACCAGGAAGAAATTAGTTGGAGATGAGAGCTACATAGAGACGTCCCCACACTGTAAACTGCAGCCAAAGCAGGAATACACACTGTCCACTTGTCCTGCAGAGGACTCAGTTCTAGTTCAACCAACAGAAGCAGAGTTTGACTGCGACAACTACGACAACTACTTCCCATCATTCCAGGTGATTTTAGAGACAATGAGGAAACACGTGAAGCTGTTTCTGAGAGACACCAACAGCTCCCACAGTGTCTGGGAAAGACGAGTTTGTCTCACTGGAGTAAAAAGGTCCTGTGGGCCGAGCGCTCTGAATCTCTCTTCAGATAAGAGGCTGTTGGACATACGGAGCAGCTTCATCGAGGGGATATCAGGACCGGTTCTCACAAGTCTGCTGGACAAACTGTTTGAGAAAACGGTGATAGCTGAAGCTGAGAGGGAGTCAGCGGACGAGATGCAGAACAGAAGAGACAAAGCTCGTTTTGTTATCGACTCAGTGAGGAAGAAAGGTGACGCTGCTAGTTCAGAGATGATTGAGTTCCTCTGTGAGGCCGACCCCTTCCTCTGTGAACATCTCGGGCTGATCTGAAGACAAATCAACAGGTGATGCAGAACATGTTGACCTGGTGGCCAGAACCTGATCATCCTGTAACTCCCACAAAATACTTTAACTGGATCATTCACTGTTTTGATCTTGAGTAGTTGCCTTGACTTATTGCTTGAAATGTTAAATTACAGTTTTCCAAGTAGGTTTTTTTATATTTGACAAAAATATGGGAACCTATTGTGAATCCATTGAATGTAAATTAATTTAGTTTGGTTTGTTGTAATTTCTAATGTAACATTTGTGGCCAATTGTTTCTATAAATGATTTCTTCATCAACTGTACAATATTTTTAAGAACCATAGATATAGACAGTTTTTAAAAGTTGAATTTAAAAATAGTTTTTCTTACTTACTATACAGTATCTTGACTGCAGCCCCATTTTTTTTATCTCTTATCACCTGATTCTGACATGACTCACACTGTATATTCGATTTTAGTACACTTTTGATGTTTGTTGTTTTTTTATTTAATTTTTTAACATCAAATTTTTTTTTTATTCTATTGCTTTCTGTAAGGTCCCAAAAAGGACAAAAGAAGAATGTTTTTTACGTTTTTATGGTGTTATAAGGCTGATTGGGCTGGGCCAACACCTGTGTAGCTCTACTGTCAGAGCTTATTTAACCAGGACTGATCATTCTGTCGTTCTCTCCTCCTGGGCCGACGTCTCACTGGGTTTGTTCTGTGTCTTCCTTTTTGGTTTATCCTCACAACACTCACATACACATACATCTCATTCATCCGTTCACTGCTGACACAACTGATACTCATACTTTGTCACACCGCGTGTCTTTGATTATTTGACATTACTTTTATAATAAATCAATTATTGGCTTGCAAACTTACTTTTGTACTCTGACTCTGCAGTCGGGTTTACTGCAGATGAGCTGTGGTGCAAGTGAAACAACAGTTTTTAATTTTTTTTTAATTAAGTGAATAATTGAAGGCGAATAATTCCCCTCCTGGAGATCTATACTGTCTTATTATATCACACATTAATTTATCTTATCTTGTGTGTGTCAAAATAAATGTTTATTTGATGTTGTACCTTCATCAGCCAGCTGAATGAGCCATTTGCTTGTGAAGTTTCTTGGTGCGTTTGAGATGACTGCGTCTGACTTTCGCCAATTTGAGAGGTGACTGCAGGGGCGGGGTATAAAAACGGCGCCGTCAAGTCGGACGCATCCTACCTGCAGCAGCTTACTGTGAGCTGAGATCAATGACTGATCTTGCGGCATTTGCAAAGAATAATACCACGAGACCAGATAGCGTCATCACGTTTTGTGTGCGATGTCTTCTGGGACAAACCATATTTGGAAGTTAAACTTCCGTCAACTTCCGTCACATTCGTCTGCGGGCTGCATCTGGATATACTTGCCGGCGAGAGTCGAAGAATAAACTCTTTTCTTCCCACTGCTTCTGCCCCTTTCCTTTCATCTGTCTTCAATTACTGTCTTAATTTTTGCTACTAGACATTTCTACACTGTAAACTGATAAACCATCATTGATTATGTCCCCCACCTTAAGGTTAAATCTGAATATAACTGTAGTGGTGACTTTCTGTATGTTACAGAATTTCTATTTAATGTTTGGAAAATTCTAAATAAACTCCTTATCGTTGTTTTATTTTCAAATCATGTAAAATCTAGAGTAGGAGCAGGATGTACACTGTAAAAAATGATTCTGTGGTCATGTCGACAAGCAAATGACAACGCATTTGGGGTCATGCAGGGGCCCCTACCTAGCGGGGGCGTAGATCGGCTGTCCCCATGCAACCATGTTATCTTTCTTATGTGTAGATGAATATTATGGACATGTTGAGACATGTTGAGTTGACTGTGAAAATACTGAGATGGGTGTAACGGTCTTATGACTATGAGTCATTGAGAGAGAATGGTCAGCGAGAGGAAAGGAATGGCCAAACAAGGACATCTCTGGCCTAACTGAATTAAAGAATGAACAAGCTACAGACAGAAAGTCCTCCTTCCCTTCTTTCTCTCCAAAAAGAAGACATCAAAAATACTCAAGCTCAGCTATCACAATCAGGTTTTGAATTTTAGTGATTTTATCAGTTACTTAGGTTTTAAACTTAAACAGTCCTCACTTATACCTAAAGGGTAATACCCATAGGCCTAGAGGATCGACCCTTTACGACGGAGAGCTGGTCCAGTACCTCCTGAACAGGGGTAACTTGGGATCTACCACAGTACAAAACCCATAGGATTTCAGAGAAATCTCCATGAAACAAAGAAACGTTCATCTCTGACAAACTTTCAGATCGTCAGAGATGGCAAATCGTGATTGCAATTAACAGTGTGTTTAAATAAAAAAACTGTTGTGTTGTGTCATGGTTATTTCAAGAATGAAAAATTAAAAGATGAACAACAATACTAACATTTTTATATTTCAAGATTTTTATTCAGAAGTATTAGTTGTTCGGCTGTTTTGCGGCTGAGTCGGTTTCTTTTTTTACAAATGACATCCCCAGCCTTGGAAAAAATTTATTGACATGGAAGACTTGCTGCTGGCATGCATAAGTATTTTTTTGCCATCACATAAAGGTGCGGATACACAGCACGTCTCTCTTGCCAATACATCAAATCATCGTGCATCCTTGGAACAAAACCATCTGTCAAATATTTTTTTACTTGTACAGTGGCATCAGCAGTTGCACTGTGAAACGTGATGTGTCTCAGGTGTTTGACTTGATTTCCAAATGCCAGATTTTTAAATCATCCAGCTGTGTTGCCAGGGCCAACATCTGGAGTGCAGGCCATCCTTCAGGTAAGAGCCTATTATACACAACAGGAGCAAATGATGGCAAAATAATTAAATTAACTAACATAATATGACATTTTTGGTCAGAAGCATTGCGGTTATTGCAGCCTACCCAATTGACCCTTCACTAAGCCACGCCCCGAATACATAGCTGGCCAATCACAGCGCAGTATAGGACTCGCTCTAACTGAGGTCCGACACTTTCATGGCTGCGCTCCATTGACTCTAATGCAAAAAGAGTCGTTTTCTAGCTTCTTTTTGCTGTATTTTCTAAGACATGCTCAAACACTGATCCTGGGGCATCTTGTAATAGTTACAGCAGCTACCCAGAGGGGTTGAAAGAAGAAGTACGATTTATTCTCTTTCCAAAACCTAAAATAAATCCAGAAAAATGTCGGCTGTGGATTGTTCCTGATGTAATCTTAGTTAGCTAACGTTAGATAACTGCCTACTGAATGTAATGTAATAAAGCCCTGCTGTTCAATTCAATTCAATTAAATTTTATTTATATAGCGCCAAATCACAACAACAGTTATCTCACAGCGCTTTTCATAAAAGAGCAGGTCTAGACCGTACTCTGTGATGTTATTTACAGAAGCCAAACAATTCCCACCAAGAGCAGCACTAGGCGACAGAGGCAAGGAAAAACTTCCTTTTAAGAGGCAGAAACCTCGAGCAGAACCATGCTCAGGGTGGGCGACCATCTGCCTCGACCGGTTGGGGTGAAGGAGAGAGAGAGAGAGAGAGAGAGAGAGAGAGAGAGAGAGAGAGAGAGAGGAGAGAGAGAGAGAGGGAGAGGGAGAGGGAGAGGGAGAGGGAGAGGGAGAGAAGGAGAGAGACAGAGAGAGAAGGAGAGAGAGAAGGAGAGAGAGAGGGGAGGGAGGCAGCCTACACAATATCCACACAGAGGTACAGACAGTAAAGGTGATGTTGCTATAGACTAAATGAAAAATGGTACAGATATTTAATAGTGTTAATGGTAACAATCGTAATGTTAATGATTATAATAACAATAATAACAATAAGACTAGCAACAATAGTCGTTGCAGCAGAGGGTGTCGAGCAGGAACACGGGGGCAGCAGGTGACCCGCAACCACAGATCCAGACTCCACAGTTCCAGAGCCAGAAAACCTGCAGGAAGTGATAGGAGAGAGGAGAGAGACGAGAAAGCACAAGACTACCGGAAAGGGGAGAAGTTGTGTTAGTAACATGCAATAATGGGATGAGGTTGCATACTGTTCTGCTTTTTAATGATTATAATAATGAATAGAGGCTGACCTAGCTTTACAGGAACAGTGTGACTGTTCAGGTTGGCAAGCGCAGCACCCACTGGCTCACGCTGTTCATATAGGTTGTAGTGGCTATTTGTCCATAAACTTAAACAAAAACAAATAATAACAAACTTCTCAAATGGCCACTTGAGGCTACGTCATGGTTAGGCTTTACGCAGGTTCAGAGGTACCAAAGCAAGGTAATGTCCATAACAAGACTGAGTTTGAGGAGGTTTATTCACACACATAAGCAAGCTTACAGACATTTCTGCTGCCTCTCTCACGCTGGTAAAAAACCATATGCCCTCGTGCCTGCGGCACCTCTCACCTTGACCTACTTATGCAAATGAACATAACACCATGTGACCAACAAACGACAATGCAAGTAAAGCATAAATACAAAATAAACCAAATTAACTTTAACAAGAAAAGAAATAAATTGGGCTATAAATTAACTCAAACCCAAAATAAACAAAAATAAGAATATAGCTCCAACAACCCAGCCCCTAATTGTAACGGTACTTTACCCACAATTAACCTTAGCTTTAACACAAAGGAGCTATTTTCCTAATTGTAGCTTAAACATTAAACTGGAATCTTCACATCTTCAGATTCTCCATATCTGAAAGAAACAAACAGATGGAAGACAGAGATAGGAGAAAGAATGAGTCGTATAGTCAATTATTAGCCTCCAAGAGAAGACAGAGCTTGGTTATTGGTCTGTCCAGGATGCTGATCTTCGTTTGGACCTTCACAGAGCGAACCAGTCCTCTAGAGTCAGCTGTGGTGCTTAGAACTCTGCCCATCATCCATGAGCCTCTTGGAGCTGTGGCATCAGCGATTACGACAATATCTCCTGGAATAAAGTTTCTCTTTTGCTTCGTCCATTTTTGCCTTTCTTGCATTACAAGCAAATACTCTGCTGTCCACCTTTTCCAGAAAAGTTCCGCAACGTACTGCACTTGCCTCCATCTC